AAAAGGTCTGATGAAGGGTCTAGGCCCGAAACGTCAGCCTCTCTGCTCCTATGATGCTGCTTGACCTGCTGTGTTCATCCAGCCCTGCACCTTGTTGTCTCGGATTTTCCAGCATCTGCAGTTCCTACTATCTCTGATTCAATTATACCTAAAAATGAGATGTCAACATGGTGTAACCACACAACAAGACGACTTGCATGCCAAACAAAATAAGCAGCAAGTGACAGACAGAGCTAAAATATCCCACAACAACCCACTTAGATCTAAGCCCTGCAATTCTGCACATCCAGGAATGAATGATGGTAGACAATTAAACAACTGACTGGAAGAGGAGGCTCCACAAATATCCCCATCCTCAATGATGGGGTAGCCCACCACATCAGTGCAAAAGATAAGGCTGAAGCATTCACAGCTATCTTCAGTCAGAAGTGCCAAGTGGATGATCCCTTTCATCTCCTCCAGAGGTCCCCAAGATCACAGATGCCACTCGTCAGCCAATTCAGTTCATTCCAGATGATATCAAGAAATAGTTGGAGGCATTGGATACTGCAAAGGCTGTGGACCCTGACACTAGTACTGAAGAGTTAGTAAGAACTTCAGATGCTGGAGTCAGAGATAACACAGTCTGTACTGAAGAATTGAGCTCCAGAACTTGTCTCATCCCTCACCAAGCTGTTCCAGTACAGCTCAACACTGACATCTACCTGACAATGTGGAAAATTGCCCAGGGATGTCCTGTACACAAACAGGACAAATCCCAACCCAGCCAATAACCATACCAGCAGTACTTTTTTTACTCATTCACAGGGTGTGGGCATCACTGGTTAGACCAGCATTTATTGCCCATCCCTAACTGCCCAGAGGACAATTAAGAGTCACCCAGATTGCCGTGAGTCTGGGGTCACATATAGGCCAGACTAGATAAGGATAGCAGTTTCCTTTCTTAAAGGACATTACTGAACAAGATGCTTTTTTTCTATCCCCAGCAATTGACAATGGTTGTCATCACACCCTTAATTTTAGATTTTTTTTCCATTGAACACAAATTCCACAGATCATTACCTAGGTTACTGGATTAATAATCCAATGATAATACCACTAGGCCATTGTCTCCCCCTACTCTTAATTATCAATAAAGTGATGGAGGGCATCATCAACAGTGCTATCAAGCAGCAACCTGCTCACTGGTGCCTAGTTTGGTTTCCACCAGGGCCACTCAGCTCCTGACGTCATTATAGCCATAGTTTAAACATGAACAAAGGAGCTGAATTCCACAGGCGAGGGGAGCATGATGGCCCTTGACATCAAGGTCATATTTGCCTAAGTGTGGCATCAAGGAGCCATAGCAAAATTGCAGTCACTGGGAAGTGGAAGAGTCATGCCTTGCACATAGAAAGATGTGGTTGGAAATCATCTCAGATCTAAGGATAAATGCTAGCTCAGCCATTGATGCCTACATCCCATGAGTGATTTTTTGAAAAGTTCAAACATAGGATGCCCAAATAGTTTATTTTTCTGTCTTTGCCGAAAGATATCCATTTGTTGTGTAATATATTTGCTGCATCATTATCCTTAATTACATCAAAGTCCACCTACCATTCTTTTGTTTGTTCTCTGAGTATTTTCTTTATTGTTTGAACATAACTACACTCCCTCGTAATGGTCCAAAGCGTAGATGGAAAGCATATGCCCCCAGGTGATAATAAATCACCAATCACAGTTGCTAGGTGATATACAATAGAACCCATGAATTATGTTATTGTAATTTTTTTTGTTTATTCATTAATGGGATGAGGGCATCGCTGACCAGGCAGCATTTATTGCCCATCCCTAATTGCCCAGAGGGCATTTAAGAGTCAACCATATTGCTATGGGTCTGGAGTCACATGTCAGGACGTTAGACATTTCTCCCAGTAAGATTAGTGCACATTTGGCAAAATCCTCGCAACACTGCTTTTCTCTTGAAATGACCAGTTACTTTCTTTTTCTGTACAGATGGTTGTTACCTTTGATGACCTATACCTGCTGACAGTTTCAGAGGATGCATGCTTCATGATCTGGAAGATTATCGATAAAGAGGGACGGGTGCTGAAACGTGACAAAGAAGTTGGCCATGCAGAAGAAATCTTGATCACAAAATCGGATTTGCAAGAAAAGGTAAAATATTATTGATCATAAACAATTAAATGGACTGTACATGCTTTGCGGTAAAGAATTTTCCAAGAGGAATTTAACCTTTAGATCTGTCCCATGTAAAATGAAAAGACCAAATACCTTTCAGCAAGCTTTGCTAAATAGTTTTTGTAGGTTTACAGCAATTTAAAAGTACCCCAGCTTTCACTTAGAAATCTACAGAATTGTTCACTCTCACTTTATCTTGAGGCAATTTAGTTTTATTTTCAATATTTAAAGCAACATTGAAATGTTTAATAAAAACGGAAAGAACTGCAGATGCTGGAAATCAGAAACAAAAACAGAAATTTCTGGAAAAATTAAGCTGGTCTGGCAGCATCTGTGGAGAGAAATCAGAATTAATGTTTCGGGTCCAGTGACCCTTCCTCAGAACAGATATTGAAATATTAATGTCCTTTGCTGTTATGTTAGTTTTTGCAAGCAATGTTAGATTTTTTGTATTAAGTTTTTGGATCTAGATTCAAAAGCCGCTTTCAACGTCACTTCTGAATGGTCAGAACCTATCTGTTGTCCTGGAGGGTGTTAATTGGCTTCCATCTGAGAAGGAAGTTCTGCTCTAGAGTTGCTAGCCAGTTGAATGGCAGCAGTTTTCAGGTTTCAGCAATGCCACCAGGAGTGTTTGTGTTGCTGACTAAGTTTATTGTTAATGTCATAATTTTACATTAAAGGTTAAACTGATAATAGAAAATTATTTTGCCTCTTTCAACAGAATCAACTGACCTTGGAGTTAAAAACTCGTGTCGAGGAACTGAAGATGGAGAATGAATATCAGCTCAGACTGAAAGACATGAATTACAGTGACAAAATCAAAGAATTAACTGAGAAGTTCATTCAGGAAATGGAATCTCTGAAAACAAAGAACCAGGTAAGCAATAAAAGCAGGCATTGATAACATTGTCCTTGGAATGTGGGGTCAGCATAAACATTTACTGCATTCATAGAAAAGTTCAACGGTTTACCACATATTTACTTTCTAATTTGTATCTTGTCAACTTTTGGAGGAATACACAGGCACATACTAGGATGGATATTAATGTGACTGTGCAGAAATTGATTCCAAAAAAGCACGTTGAAAAGTCATACATCACCAGAGTTCATTATAGATTGCCTAAATAATTATTTTTACCTTTTAGTTTGGAGGCGAGTTTGGAATATGACTTAATAAAAAGAGTATAATATGAACAAGAATGGAGAAGCATCTTTGACAGGACAATATTGATTCAAAGTTAAGTTCACTTACTGGGGTGTCATACTTTTCCAGTTCATCAGACTATTCCAATATGATAACAAAAAGCATGTGATCTATCACCTCATATTAAGTAAACTTTGAGACATGGTGCTTATAGAATCCAACTCTCGACATAATCAGATACTGTGGTTTGCTATAGGTTTTGAAGACTGACAAAGACAAGATTGAGTTAAAGCACAAGGAAGATACAGTACTGATCCTGGATAGACATGCAAAAGACATTGAAGACTTAGGTAAAAAAGCATGCTGCATTTACTCTTGTCTTGTGTCCTCTAATGTTACAGACTGCAACAAAATATTGATTCCGTGAGCTAATAAAATTAATCTATTGCTTAGAAACTATTCACAATTCAAAACAGTGATACGACTTGACAATGTAGTAGCAGTATTCTTAATTGCTCCTCTTGTTCTTCATGCAAAAAGACTACAGTTTTACTGATCACTATATCTTGCCTGTATAGGCCATTCAAAGGCTCTTATTTCCACCTCTGTCTAATAAGATCCTTCTTCACAGGCATCATCTTACTTTTCACACGCTAGCCTGCAAGCATGATCTACTGGTAGTCAGTAGTCTGACTTACTTTGATCCATTATTGCTACCAGAGGCTGTTCAGGCCGTCAGGAGAGTTTTCAGGTTGTGGAAACTCTGCTAACAGGTATCATTTGACACTTGGTTGTCAGAATGTGCGTGCTCAGAAGTACAAAGAATATATTTATGAAAGACTGAAAATATGCACTAGACCCTCTGGCATCTGTAAAGAGAAAGAATGGATTAATATACTCATCAGGCTGTTTAGCTCCTCAAGCCTGTTATGATATTCAACGCTAATCTGCAACTTGACTCCATATACCCATCTTTGCTTCTTATCCTTTAATACCCTTGGATAAAAAGAACCCATCAATCTCAAATTTGTAATAAACAATTGATCTATTATCAACTGCAGTTTGGATGATTGTCTGTGGATGATTTCTTAATTTTACTTCTGAAAGGTCTACTTCTAATTTCTAGATTACACTCCTAGTTCTAGACATCCCAACCAGCTGGACTCATAAGGCATTCATTACTATCTTATACCAGCTGATCAGCATGTTTATTTTCACTGTCTAATTTAGGTCCTTGTACACATAGTATGGCATAGTACTGTGAGGGTTGGAATTAACTTCACAGCATACTTCATAAAATATATATTTTACATCCAAATTTACTACAATTGCAGAGAGCGTGAACAACCAGAAACTGATGTTGGAATATGAAAAATACCAGGAGCTACAGCTCAAATCCCAGCGAATGCAGGAAGATTATGAAAGACAGCTCAATGAAATGGATGAGAGCAAGATCCAAGCATTAGAGGAATTGACAGAATATTATGAGACCAAACTCCAGGAAAAGGGTAAACTTATTGAACAGGTAAGACAGAAGACGCCCATAGATTAGGAATTAACAGGCCTCTGAATAATGTTTTCCTTTCTGATAGTGACTAATGATGAGTAGAAATGTCTGTTAGTCATTTGGTAGCATAGAACTTAAGAGTAATGCTTAAAAAGGACACAGGTCATCAAAGTTTTTTGTTTTGTACTCATCAGGTCATTTCACAAGAAATACCAAAGTAAAGGGAAAACAACATTTATGTTGTATGAGAAGGAGGTTGCTGATTGGTTGGCAAGTAGACGTTCATTGTTCATTGTTTAAGGCAGTTCTATGGAGCATGCACTAGTTATTGATGACTGACAATTAACTGCAACCTTTGTTTAAATTTCAAACCAGCAGATTGACTGTGATTGAACAAGACATTACCCTGAGAAAAGAACCAGATCAAGGCTGCGACCTATTTTGTTGAGTTGAAACATGTTTGTCTGTATGCAAAGGAAAGAGTACTTCAAGTTAAAAGTATTTGGCTTCCAGTAACACAAATGTGCGTTACCACTATAAACCTGACTGATATCCTAAATTGGTTGGTAACATAAGTGTTCACATACTCTGGACTATTTAGTAAATATTGTCCAAATACAGTATCACATCTAATGTTGGATATTTTGGGGTTTTGCAAGCAAACATTGGGTTGGTCAGTAACTTGACTGTTGCAAATGATGAAGTGTTGTTTAATGTGATCCATTTGTCTTTGGAATGTATGGCATACATATCTAACATGACAGCAGCATCTTATTAGTATCAGTCATGCTACTGCTGCATAGTGGGAAATAAACTATCTAGTTCATTCGTGTTTTTAAAATCATTTATTTGAAGTTTGGGTGTTGAATTTGAGTTGGTCGTGTTGAATTTACTGTGTCTGAAATTAAAAATTAAATTGTAAGTATTTCAGTAGCTATGATGATTTCTTTTAAAGCAGTTTGTGAGTGACACATTAGAAACTTAATGGATTTTTGTTTACTTCAGGGTTTTATGACCTAGCAAGTTAGACAATTTTCTTCCAAGGTTTTTGCTAGGAATTCTGGACTGAAAGTTTTTTTAAGATTATCTATAGTAAAGAGAAAAACCTTTGTTTCATTTTGTCTTGGTTTTAGGCAGTTTTGTGAAGTCCTTTCATGGCTGTTTGTGTATTGACTAGGGAAAGGAAAGAATATAGTAAAGTAGATTATTTGAGAATAGGATTTAGTGATAGTCCCAGACTAGAAATGTTGGACAGTACCCTAAAGAGGACTTGAAACTACGTTTATTTAAACTTATCATGTTTGATAGCTCTAGGAATAGCTCCCTATCAGAGGCGCCGGCCTCGAAGTTGAAGTCACAGTTACTTTAAATACATTGAGGTGTCAGAGAAACTGGTTCCGGTATAAGTATTGTTCAAGGGTTGTAGTTGGATACTGTACATGGGATGTTGTTTTTTTAAAACTTGTGAAGTGTTATGGACCAGACCAAACCTCCTCAAAATATAAGAAGATAATCTAGACCCTAATATTTTCTTATTTTAACGGTAAGTGTAAGGCGGTCCCTTGCAGATGCAATTTGATTGGTCAAACTACTTGATGTTAAACAAAACACACTTTATTTTTACAGTATAGTTAAAAAAGGGAACAAAATAAATAAAATAAAAGATTTGGCTGAACTGTAACTCTATTGAAATGCTTAACAAAATTATATATATATAGATCGCCTCACATGCAATTCTAGCAGCAGGAAGAGAGCCCCAGCTTTTAGCTGTAACAGAGAGAGGAAGAAGAGCTTCCACATCCAGCATCAAGACCTCAGCAACTGCTGAAAGCCAAAACTAATCCTGGTTCTGTGGGAACTTGACCCCACCCATTCATTCTGCTTCTATTCCAATTTATTTTAAAACCTAAGGTTTCAGAAGCTGTTTAGTCTATTGGTTGTAAGTAGACTGCATGTCTGTCTCAACCTTTCTTCATTAAGAAAAACCAGGACAAAACACATCTCTTCTAGCTGTAGTATTGTCACAAAGGAGAGTTTTTGGATTAATGGAATTATACTTTTACACTGTTTTTAAAACTCTTCCAATTTGGTTTATAACTAAATTATTTAGTTTATTCTATGTTATCTTCATTTTATTTATTTAATAAACTCCATTTTATAGTCAAAACAACATTTGAATCGTGTGTTTCTGTCTTGGTGATAGACCACTTTGTTAAAAACAAAACAAAACAAAATATGACCTATTAAGCTAGATTGCAGTCCACAATCTGACTTGTCAAGTAATAACATTAGCTGGGATCAAAACAAAAGTAAAATCATTAGTTTCACATGTTGCCTAAACCTGAGTTTCCTTACCTTGCGGTTGATCTGAGATAGGCTGGGCACTTTTTATGACCAAAAATGATGACCATCAGCCCATTCATGAGTGTGCACAATGTACAGTGAGAAATGATCTGATCAAGATAGCTATTATCCTGCAAGATGGCTTTGAGGTGCCCTATTTCTGCATCAAGCCTGCACAGTGAACAAATGGCTTGGGCCCTATTTAGGAGGTTTCTGGAAAAGTGAATCTGACAGCTCATTTAATTGTAGGAGTCCCAATGCACATACAAATGACTGAAGGTAGGGTGGATAAGAATAGAGAATTACTGTTTTTTGTACTGTGTTGTATTTTTGTATTATTCTGTTCACTTCACAATCTCCTTTCAATTGCCTCAGCTGCAGGAAGAGTCCAGGCAACAGATTAAAGAATCTGATGAAACAAAGAAACAGATAGAAGAGGATGCTGACCGTGAAATACAGGACATTAAAATTAAATATGAACGAAATCTTAGAGACGAAAAAGAGGCAAATCTCCGGTTGAAGGGAGAGACAGGAATCATGAGAAAAAAGGTATAAGAAGACAGAGGGCTCATTATTTTTTTGAATCGATTTTAAAATCCTACAGATTAAATATCTTCAGAGCTTAGCACACTAGGCAAAATTCCACCCTGCACTCATGTAATTGGCAAATGGAAATCCAGGCCTGAGTTCCAGAGGTTGTTTGAACATAGGTCCTTGAACCTCAATCCTGTTCTCATCTGATATACTGTAAATCTTTTTGCCATAATGTGGCACAATGATAGAAGTGTTCAGAATAGAGCAAAAAGCCCCTTTGAAATATTCGTATGATCATTCTTTTCCTCTCACAGCATCCAAATTCACATTTGTCTGTCTCTGAAAATGGCCTTGAATGATAGAGTATTTTATCTGTCTCCCTCATTTCTTGCTTTTTCAGTTTACCAGTTTGCAGAAAGAAATTGAAGACAAGCAGGGAGAGATTGAGAAGTTGAAGAGTGAACACCAAAAACTACATGGAGTTATCAGGTCACTGGAGAAAGACATCCAAGGTCTCAAGAAAGAAATCTTAGAACGTGATGAAACTATTCAGGACAAGGTCAGGCAACTAGGAGGCAGTTGGCCAATATGCCAGTGGTAATTACAGACTTACACCGTAAAGGAGAATGGATTAAAACAATGAAATGTACAATTGTGTAGAAAAATACATGTAGACCAATTAACCTGCTAACATTGGAAAAGGCAATTAGATATTAAACCGTGTGTAATTTTGCAATTTATAAGCAGCTTATTTTAGTTTATAAAGAGATATGAAGTAAACTGAATGATTGGAGTGAATTTTCTGACTTCTTTTCGGTATATGTGAACATGGCTTGGTAGAAGGGGAGTGTGCAAAAATATAAAACAAGTGGCCAGCACATCCCCAGACTCTACCCTAAATTGCAGGTGCAGGCAGCCAACATGCCTTTAGGTCTATAGAGGCACTTAAGTTGCCAATCAATGGATATTAATGTTTTGCCTCCGCTGCAAAAATATGTGCTTCAGGGGAAGACTGCGAATCTGCAACTTTAAGAACTCATGTTGAAAGTTGTGAAGGAAAGGGAAGGAAGCATACCTACTACTTGTAATTTGCACCCCACCAATCTCTAAAATCTAACCTCCACTGCATTCCATCTCTATTTTGAGGGTCCCTAATCCTTCCTTAAGCAAGATCCCTGGATTTACCTTTATGTGTGGGGGAAACCTTACAAACTGGACAGAAAAGCAGCAGACCAGAGGATTGGGAGCACTTTAGATTTCAACAAAGGAGGAGAAAGAGATTGATTTAAGAGTGGGAATATTGAGTACGAGAGTAAGCTTGTGGAGAGCATTCCAACTGATTGCAGAAACTTCTATCAATATATGAAGAGAAAAAATTAGTGAAAATAAATGCAGTCAGACGCAGGGGAATTTATAAAGGGGAACAGACCCATTAAATGCATATGTAAGTTCTGACTTCACAAAGCAGGATCCAAAAAAATCCCAAAAATATTGGGAAACAGAGGGTCCAGTGAGAGTGAGGAACTGAAGGAAATCAGTATTAGTAGGGAATTGGTGTTGGGGATTTAGGTGGGATTCAAGGCCAATAAAACCCCAAGGTCTGATAATCTACATCCCAGAGCATTTAAGGGAGTGTCGCTAGAAATAGTGGATGCATTAATGATCATCTTTCAAGATTCTGTAGACTCTGTATACTCAGTTCCTATGGATTCGAGATTAGCCACTATAACCTTACTGTTTAAAAAAAAGTGTCAGAAAGAAAACAGGAAACAATAGACTAGTTAAACAGACATCAATAGTGAGGTAACTGCTAGACTCTATTATAAAACATTTAAAAGCGGAGAACTTGGAAAACGGGGACAGGATCAGTCAGAATCAGTATGGATTTACAAAAGGGGAATCATTCTTGACAAACCTGCTGGAATTTTTTTGAGGATGTAACTAGTAGAGTTGAGAAGGAGGAGTTAGTGGATGTAATTTACTTGGACTTTCAGAAAACTTTCAGTGATGTCCCACATAAGAAATTAGTACGTAAAATTAAAGCACATGGGATTGGGGAAGTGTACTGACATATATACAGAACTGGTTGGGAGACAGGAACCAAAGAGTAGTGTCTTTTTGTGGGTGGCAAGCTGTACTTAGTGGGATATTGCAGGGATCAGTGCTTGGGCCCCAGATAGTCACAATATATATTAATGATTCAGTTGGGAGAATTAAAGGTAATCTCTCTAAATTTGCAGATGACTCGAAGCTTGGTGGGAGGGTGAGCTGTGAGGAGGATGCAGAGATGCTTCAATGTAATTTGAACAACTTAAGTGAGTGAGCAAATGCACGGCAGATGAAGCATAATGTGATCAATGTGAGGATATCTATTCTGGTAGCAAAACAGGAAGGCAGGTGATTATCTGAATGATGATAGATTGGGAAAGGGGAAAGTGTAATCAGACCTACGCGTCACTGTACACCAGTCACTGAAGGTAACCATGCAGGTGCTGCAGGCGGTGAAGAAGGCAAATATCTGTTGGCCTTCATAGCGAGAGAATTCGAGCACAGGAGCAGGGATGTTTTACTGCAGTTGTATTGGGCCATGGTGAGACCACACCTGGAATATTGTGAGTAGTTTTGGTCTCCTTATCTGGGGAAAGATGTTCAGGGAGAAAGCGCAATGAAGGTTTACCAAACTGATTCCTGGGGGTGACAGGACCGGTGTGTGGAGAGAGGTTGGATCGGTTAGGACTGTAATCACTGGAGTTTAGAAGAATGGAGATGGATCTTATAGAAACCTATAAAACTCTAACACATCTAGACAGCGTAAATGCAGGAAGGATGTTCCCGATGACTGAGGAGACTAGAACCAGGGTTCACAATTTAAGGGTACAGGATAGTCCTTTCAGGACGGAGATGAGGAGAAATGTCTTCAGCCAGACAGTGTTGATTCTGTGGAATTCTCTGCCACAGAAAGCAGTGAGACCAAAGCTTCAAAAATCAAGAAAGTGATAGATATAGTTCTTAAGGCTGAAGGAATCCAAGGGTATGGGGAGACAGCAGGAACAGAGTAGTGAGGTGGATGATCAGCCATTATTATATTGAATGGCCTACTCCTTCACCTCTTTCCTGTTTTCTTTTTATCACAACTGCCTGTAGTCCCAGTCATGGCCAATACTTCCTTCTGACTGTGCTGAATCGACTTAGCTGGTGGTCGATTTGAATGGTTAGAGCCCTTTAAGTAGGACACCATATTGTCAGTTCAGGTCAGCCAGCTTTAAATCAGTGTTGTGCTGACAGACTGGTTTGCAGTGAGGTGTGCAGGTGATGAGGAATACGACCTCCCCAAATCCCATAAAATTCACTCCATACTATTAAAAAATTGCTAATAGCAATCAGGGCATCATATTTAAAACATCATGGAAATGTACACTTGATCTTAGAATCTGAATTATAAAATAGAATATAAAATGGAAAATATCACAAACAGTTTTACAGTGCTCTGTAATAAAAATGTAATTCAAACACTGAATAGCTGATAAAATATCTCACATTACTTAGCATGAAACAACTAGTTATCTTGTTCCTCTGGGTGACAACAGCAGAAGATATCGGACCAGGTGCACTGTTTCCTGGTTTTACATCTCCATAAATTATCTCAATCACTCTAATGCTTTTGTGTTATTTATCAGATTTCCATTCTTGGATGAATCACAATTTGCTTTAGTTATACAAATATTGAAGTTATTGCCTTGATCTCAAAATAGATATTAGTTGAATTTCAATTCCCAACTTAGAAAGATATGCTAACTGTAGTCAGTTTCAGACCTGTAAAATTAAAATCAAACTTAACCTAACATTATGTACATATGCAGGAAAAGCGCATCTATGATCTCAAGAAAAAGAATCAAGAACTGGAAAAGTTTAAATTTGTTCTGGATTACAAAATTAAAGAACTTAAAAAACAGATTGAGCCGCGAGAAAATGATATAAAAGAAATGAAAGAGCAAATACAGCAAGTAAGTCTTCAGGAAATAAATTAGAACTTTTGGAATAGCTTGTATTTCTATTAGGCTGCATTTATGGGAAACACAACTGCTAGACAGAGCAACAAATGCACATGTGCATAAATTCGACATTGCAGTGTGATATTCTGTGACAATTTCATTCAGTCTTGCTACAATCTAAAAGTTTAAAGCATTTAGCAGCACCTCACACATGACTGTCATGAAGTTAGTTTCTTATTTAAATATCCATTGTGCAAGTTTAATAATTATTGTTATATTCAGTTATTCATCTTTTGTAATTGTATTCTCAATTTGAGAACACCAGTTTCTAAACTGTGTTCTGCCTCCCTTTCCTTACATATGTAAGGAGTGAATAACGCTGGTCTTAGTACTGTTCCTTGAGGAACATTATTCATGTGTTTCAACAATCTTTCACCAAATAGCTTTTAAACAGTGTTTGCACTTTTCTATTTTTGTAGCCAGCTTACTGTCTATGCTGCTGTATTCTCAACGGTTAGTTGTCATTCCCAACTTCTCACTTCTTTCTGTTTCCCAGATTCAGGAGCTAAGAACAATTTAATGTTATGTGTCGTGACATCTTGGGTGTAACTATGCTTGTACAGATGGATTACAGTAGCCATTTTTGTGTTGGGAACATACTCTATTTGTATTATCCCTTATATCCTTAGTACTAAATCATTTTGCGGTAATTTAATTATCATTGAAACTGCAGGCACATACAGCAGCTATATGGTGGGCTTGAGGCCAAGTCCACACTAGATTTTCAATCTCGCTAGTTTTTGGGGCAAGCAATTTGAGTTGGGTGGTTTGGGCTGATTGAGCTAGAGGAATGGTCAGATCAGTTGAAGCATTGGAAAAGCCAGTCAGCTGAAGCCAATAATTGGTCAACACACCAATTCAACTCTTAGCCCATCAAGCCAGTAAGTTATTTTACTCATCGTTACTAATAAATAAAATGCATGCATGTTTAATCAAAACATTTGAATTTCAGATAGCTGGATTTGATTATTTGTACCTTTGAAGGAATTGTCTCTTGAATAAAGGCAAAACACTGCAGATGCTGGAAATCTGAAAGAAACACAGAGAATGCTGGAGAAACTTAGCAGATCTGGCAACATCTGCAGAGAAAGAAACATTATTGTTTCAAGTCCATTATGATTCTTCTTCAGAACTCAGGAGTTCTGAAAATCTAAGTACAGTACATCAACTAGTTCATACTGGACTCAAAATATTAACTCTTTCTCTCTTCACAGATGCTGCCAGATCTGCTGAGTTTCTCCAGCATTCTCGGAGTTTGTTAATGGGTTGGCTCTTGCCATTAACAAGCATAAAGATCTCATAGTCTATGGGATTAAAAACTAATAGAAACCTGCATTAGAAATAAAAGCTTCCTTTAGAAAAGCCTAATCATTGTTTATCAATTTCTAAACAATTTCACAGTCCCCATTAATAGTTATTCATTCTCCTAGCCTGTTTGTTATCCACTCCTTTGTCTGTCCAACTGTTCTTCTCTCTCTTTGGGCTCTATCTCTACCTATCATTTACTTCTTACTCCCTTCCTCCACCCTTCTATATAAAAACCACTTTTTCCTAGCTACCATCAGTTCTGAGGAAGGATCACTGAACCTGAAATGTTAACTCTGATTTCTCTCCTCAGATGCTGTCAGACCTGCTGAGTTTTTCCAGCAATCCAGCAATTTCTGTTTTAGTTTCTGATTTCCAGCATCAATAGTTATTTCAGTTTTTGTTTCTAAACATACTTGTATCATTGATCCCTCTACAGATGGAAACTGAATTGGAGCTGTTTCATAAACATAACGCCCAGCTGGAACTTAATATTGGAGAACTCAAACAGAAACTAAAAGCAACAGAAGCAGAGATGCGTAAAGAGATGGAGAAGGTTAGATAGTGTAATGCATACATTTAGCCATATGCAAATACATGCTTGGGCAAATGCATATATACAAACACTGCTTTGCTCTTGCAAAACAACTAGATAAATTCTCAACTTTAATTGTATCTACATTGTATATTTGAGCATAAAATCTATCAAAATGTATCTTGCACATGCATTAGATGCATTTTTGATCATTTGTTTAGAATGTATTTTGATAATTTGGTCTCCAACCACGTATGAGATTTACATAAGCTACTAAAGTTTCAAATTCAGGAGAGTAAGCTGCTGTGTTCCTGATGTTGGTGTTTTTTACTTAAACTACCTTTGAGTGCATTCTTCCTGATCATAGATTCTTGGTTTATTGGTTGCTTCATTTGAGCTAGTTTTCTTGGCAGTGATGTCAGTGGTCATTTCCCTTTGCCTTCCACTTTCTAGAATGGGGTGAGGAGGCAGGTGCCAAATCTGTTCCAGCTGGATTGGGAAATGAACCAGGTAGTTGTCATTAATCTAAACAATATGCTAGCTGCCCAGCCAACTGAGTAACCATCATTCCTTTTTACTGTATAAAATATTGAATTAAAGAATATTTAGCAAAATGAAGCACTCACTTCTTGTTCCAACTTTCTTTATTGAGCCTAATAAATCAAATCAAACCAAATAAGCAATGATGGTCTCTCCCAACTGGAGATCTAGCAAGAGCCCTGCATCATATCTTTTAGAAAAGACTCCTAAAAATGGACAGCAGCTGACCTACACCAAGATCAAGAACCCAAGAGGCAAAGGTCTTGCCTACCGAGTGCTTCTGGCCAATCAGAACAGCAGTGTCGACAGGGAGACCTAGTGCCATTGGATTCCAGATCATAGATATATGATGATAGGAGAGAGGCCACAGAATGGGGCACACTGTACTGTGTGGGAGAAGGCTGTGTCACTAGCATTAGTTAGGGGTTGGCTGTCACTAAGACCACCAAATCTAATGTCAGGTTCCTTGATCAAGCATGAAGTACTTTAGTACAAGGAACTCTCAGTAGGAGTCTGCAAGGAATTTTACACATGCTTGTGCATCACTGTGCCTCACTTGGCAAATTACCCACCCATGGCTGACTTAAACTAATGACAGTGTTATCCCACTGTCACTAAGTGAGCATTAAGTGAGAATTAGTTGCCTGTTTAAGGCCCTCAGGTGGAGGGAAAGGCTATTCATGGTCCTCCTCACCACAGGCTTACTTATGAGGAGATGGGAGGCTGTGGTGTGCTCACCTGCCACTATCTCACCTGATTAAAATCTCCCTGCCACCAAACATGCAATGTGGGATAGCAATTCAATCCATTCTGAATATCTGAAACATTGATTTACTTCTAGGTCAGAATTTAGTGCACACCCCAACCTGCAGGAAGGCGGTGGAAAGGGCAGGAGAATACTTTGTAATCAGACAGAAAGATGCATGATGGAAATAACTCCCCTATCCCATTTCCCTGTAATTCCTTCTTGGGGAGGCTCAAAGACAAAGATCCTGCCTAAAGACCAATGTAGTTGGCCACTTAAGGACTTCTTCCTACTGCTGCTTCAGCCATGGGCAAGGATTGCATGTCACGTGGTCCTATCACGAGGAAATCTTGGCAGGTAGGGAGACCCTCCTTGCCAACCACATGCCAGATGGAAACATTTGTGTGAGGAACCTGGAATAATGACTCGGAGCCTAAAACAAGCCACCTCACTGCTGCTTATTTCCTGGGGCTCTATCATTAATCCCTGGTGTAAGGAACACTGCAATACTCTCAGTGCCCACCGGTGGTACCTGAGAGCTGACTGTTTCTGATATGCCAGCAGCTCTCAGGGTCAGGAAATGTACCCTGCACCAGGATTTCGGGGGTAGTTTTCCCATCTTAAGAAATAGGAAGCTTGAGGTTGGGAAGGGAAGGCCCAATTGGTACTTAATACAGCAGATAATTCCTGGGAATGGCAGGATGGTAGGACTCTCCTGTGAAGCGAGATTGAAAAGACAGGGCCTGGTTTTCTCCAGAGTTTGGAAGATTAAGAAGAGGTCTCATAGAAACTGACAAATTTTTAAAAGGGATAGACAAGATAAACAATGTTTCCTCTGTCTATGGAGTCGAGAACCAGGTGACACAATCTCAGAAGCACAGGTTATGACGGAGTTGTGGAGGAATTTTGTCACTCAAAGGTTCGTGAACTTTGGATTTCTCTCTCCCAGCCAGCTGTGGAAACACACTCATTAAGTAAATTCAAGGCAGAGATTGACAGATTCCTAATTAGCAATGACATCAAGAGATATAGAAATGGTGCAGGAAAACAGCGTTGAGTTGCTGATGAGCCATGATCTGAATAGTGGAGCAGGTTCAAGGGGCTCAAAGGCCCCTTGTTCTTATGAAAATGGGACAGCATTTTCACGTGTTTCCAGCCAGTGAACAGATTGCTCCCTGTGACCGTTAAATTCCATCCCTTGTTTATACAAATATTTGGTCTAAGGACACCTAATCATAACAGGCTCACTACCAGTGGCATCACCAAAGGAACAGAAGTAATCCATTCCTAAGAACTAAGGAATAGGAACATGAGTAACCCACTTGGTCCTTTGCACATGCACTACTGTTTAATACGATCATGGCTGATCGTTTACTCCAACTCTGTCTTCCTGCATTATTTCCATATACCTTAATTTGCTTTGTTACCCAAAAATATACCAACTATTTAGCCATTCATTCCTGTTCTGTTAGAGCATGCTAATCTGTACCAAAACTCCTTTTATTTAGACAAAAGTATCAATCCTGAAAATTTTATTTGCCCCATAACCCATAGTCTTAAGAGGAGAAAGTCCTGGGTTTTTGCCACTACAAATATTAGAATCAGTACAAAGATGCATTGACATCACTATTAAGGTGTTGACATAGGCTCAGAGTAACCCTCTTGCATAAGTCAGAAGTTAATAGTTCAAGTCCTGCTCTGATGACTGGGAAATCAATTCTAGTTACATTTTAGTGCAATGCTAAGGGAGTACTGCATTATTGAAAGAGCCATTTTTCAGATGAGGCATTAAACCAGGTCCAATTTGCACATTCAGATGAAGATAAAAGACACAATGACATTATTTCAGAGACAGAGGATAGCTCTTCACAGTGTCCTACCCAATATTTATTTCTCAACACTACCTGAAAGTGTTTTCAATATTATAATAGTGACTGTGTGCTCCAAAAGCAGTACATTGGCCGTAATGCACTGACATCATAAAAGTCCTGATATTATTGCACATTTTTCTTCTGTCTACTTTCTCTTTATTTGTCTGAATCAATTCAGAAAGTATTACTGTTGTATTTGCCAAATGTCCTTTTACTTGTTAATATTTTTTGCTCTGGAAGATGGTGAGATTCTCATCAACATTCAAAAGTCTTTGAAAATTAGGCAACTAAACCTTCCATTATTAGATTCCTACTTTGATCTACTCTTTTTTAAAAAGGAATATATAGGATGAAGAGGTATAAGTATAAGGGAAGATGTTTACAGAGAGCAAGCTAAATACATAGACCTCTTCTATCTGTCCTTGCATACTTTAAAAGAACATGGCCAAAATTTTTTGCAGTTCCTGAAGATGGATTTTGAGATGCGTTTCAAGGTGGGAGGATGTGATGCAGCAGGAATCGTGAAAATTGCATCTGGCCAACTTTCAATGTGCTTCCGCTTTCAAGCTATTGTTCCAGAGTCAGTTTCACTGCAGTGATATTTCCCACAGCGACATGAAGCCAATTAAACCACAAGCTGAGAAGGTCAATAAGATAAATAGGACTGCCTGGGAAAATTTACCAAGTAGCAACCAGAAGCTCACAAGAGGTGAATCTACAGCAGGGATCTTGACAATTAACTTTAATTCAGTGAAAATGGAAAGCCTGTGGCCAATGGCAGACCACTGCAGAAAATTTGACATGGTTACTGCTGCCACTGACAGTGCTAATGTTAAACCAAAAATTTCCAACCTCACCTCCTGTTCCATCATTAGTCTTTCTTCAGTCGCAGCCACAATAAAGGCCTCCAAGAGGTGACCCTCTCATGTTGACTCCTGATTAGACCTTGCGCCACTGCACGTGGCCTCTTTTGGCCATAATTGACCATTCTCCATAATATTTCTCAAGTGGAAGCACGGCTGATACAGGCAAGATAGGGCCCAGAAATGCTGAGGACCTTTTTTTTTTCAACATTGGGCATATACCTACATCACGTGGTTTTTAGTGGTTCAAAGAAGAAACTGACCACCACTTTAATTTGATTTGATTTGATTTATTATTGTCACATGTACCGAGGCACAGTGAAAAGTATTGTTTTGCATGCTAACCAGACAAATCATATCTTACATAAGTACATCATTACAAAAGTACTTCTGAAGGGAAATTGGGATAAATAATGGTCTAGCCAGCAATGTCTATATCCCGAAGTGAACAAGTACATTTTAAAAATTGTTCCTACTCCTAGGATATTGTAAATTGCAAAAGATTTTGGCCTGCTTGTTTAAATAGCAAATACATGTTAACATGGATACATAGAAAATGGAATTAACACACTACCAAATATTGCGTTCATTCACAAAACAAAACCAAGCATTCTAAGATAACAAGGTGTGGAGCTGGATGAACACAGCAGGCCAAGCAGCATCAGAGGAGCAGGAAGGCTGATGTTTTGGGTTATCTCAGATTCTCCAGCATCGGCAGTTCCTCCTATCTTCCAAGCATTCTAAATAGGTTTTTGTTTAATAGTTCCTCTATCTTCTCAATCTTTGTCATTCAAGTCATTTAATCATTTCCTATCTTCTCATTTTCAGGTGCGAAATGTAGAGTCTGTTGTCAAACGTTTTAAGACAGATTTGTACAACTGTGTAGCATTTATTCAGGATCCAAAGAAACTGAAAGATAGTGTGTGGCAACTCTATGAGAAATACGTGCCACAGTCAGAAGTGGTAAGTTTCTTAAGTGACAGCATTTGCTTACCTGTGAGATCACTTGGTATCAGAGAGAAATCTGTTCCCTTTACTTTCTTAAATAATGCAGCTTTTGAAACTCTGCTCTATCACAAAGAGAATCGACTCCTAGACAAATATGATGAAACGTCTTTCTCCTGTGGTGAGGGTCACAAGGTCATTAGCTTGTTAGTTAACCCTAAACCTATCGTAAAACAATTAGACTAGACAACCCTCTTTCTTTCCTATTATTTTCTCTTATACACCTCAATTTGTTCTGATAAGTTCCATGTGTATATCTGTGCCTCACTTCAGGCTATCAAAATCAGATTAACCTCATTTTCTGTAAGATTTACTATTTGTGTTTTATCAATAAAATTTACATAATGAGGAATTTCAGTCAATTTTATTTCTCCACAACACCTGCTGCCTTAAAACTGTGTATTAACCCTGCAGTTAGAAGCTTAAGCAGTGATTTGTGTGCTGCTGTACAGTTGTATTGGTTAAAGACTGTTTCAGAAGCTGCGAATTAACTTATCAGTTGAAATGCAATTATTGAATACAATTTATTACACTATATGAGGAGGGGCCCCTGCCCCCATCTTTTCTCAACCCCACCCCCCTCATTCAGCTGCAAATAGCTATAATACTTTAATGAAACTTAGTTACTCAGATCAAAAATTAAGGAGAGCCTTAAGATTAAGATTTTCTGAGGTGAAAGAGAGTGGAGTATTATTACCTACTATCACCCCCAAAAATTGAACTATAATACAAATATACACAAAACCAGGTAATGAGTGTACAAAGAAGAGATGCTTTGTAGGAATGTCTAGTACTGACAGGAAGGTGAAGGCAAATGCAGTCACAATTCTTAAGAGTCCCTTGGGTTTCAGGAATTAAAAGACCTAAATTCAACTGTTTAGCTGCTGTCTTGTTTCTTCCAAAATTCAAAGCTACACATGTTTTGGAATTCCTAGTGAATGAATGCTGTTCCAAGTTGCTTTTCATCAGCAACTTTCTGATATTGAGAGAAGTGCTTCCAGTATCTTTGCAGATATCATTCATGTTGCTTTTTTTTTCATTTTTGCTCAAAAGAAGCTACTGAAGTGTGGTTTATTCGTGTATTCCAAGTCTAGCTTCATTGTCTTTTTCAAACTGAACACTTGTAGGTTACTTTTCATCACCAATACATTAAGTTATCATGCTAGTGTGAGTAAAACTAGAGATGTGAATTTTATGATGTATCTTTGGGTTTCAGATCACCTTTAAAATGGTAATTCCAGGGTGGCTGGTTTCATGTATTCCATGTGTGTTGCTGGTCAGGTGATCACAGCAGTCATTTTAGATCAGCAGTGTCTTTTTAACATTATTTTTAGTCCATAAAAGTCCAGGTATTAAAGCCAAATGATTTGTTTTCTCTATGATTTTAACACATTTTAAACAATTATGAAATGTAAATGCTTATCTTAAGTTAGCAGGTTGTTCTTCCCCTCAAATTTATGTTCTATATTTTATTGGATGTGTAAGATTCGGAGAACAACGTGCAAGCTACTGGAACTGGAGATGGCCACTTAGCCCATTGAGTTTTCTCTACCATTCAGTATGATCATGACTGATGACCAACTTCAGTGTCTTTTTCCCCACACTAACCTTATATCCTTTACATCATTGGTATTTAGAAATCTGTCAAACAAAGATTGAACTTCACAGAGTCCTCTGGGATAGAGAATTCCAATGGTTCACAAAAAGTCTCCTCCTCTTGGTCCTTGGTAGCTTTCTCCTTGTTTTTGAAATTGTGTCTGTTTGTATTAGACTCCCCAGCCAAGGGAAACAGCTTACTTGCATCCGCACTGTCTAGCCCTTTAGTATTTTGTAGGTTTCAATGTGATCACCTCTCAACCTTTGAAACTCCAGAGAAAACAGGCCCTCCTTTATCCAATCTGTTTTTATAGGACAGTCCTGCCATCCTAGCAACCAGTCTGGTCGACTTATCACAACAATATCCTTCCTAAGATAAGGAAACCAAAATTGCACACAGTGTTTGAGGTATGGTATAATCAAATTTCTGTACAACTGAAGCTACTCCTGTACTCCACTTCTCTTGCGATAAGAGTTATCATACCATTAGCCTACCTAATTACCGGCTGCACTTGCATGTTAGCCTTCAATGGCTTATTGACAAGTACATCTAGGTCTCTTGGCACTTCCTAACCTCTTACCGTTTAAGAAATACTTTGCCTAAATGTTCTTCCTTCTAAAGTGGATACCCCCACATTTCTTTCCAATTTGCCATAGCTTTGCCCACTTACCAAGTCTATCCAAATCCTCTTGAAACCACTTTGCACCTTCCTTACAGCACCTATTCTTACCTGGCTACGTGTTGTCTGCGAACTTGGAAATCTTTCATTTCATCCAGATCGTTGATATATATTGTGACCAGATGGAGTCCAAGTGTGCATCCTTGCAGAACCCCATTAATTTACTACTTGCCAGCATAAGAATGGTCTATTTGTTCCTACACTCTATTTTTCTGCTTTAGACCCAATCCTTTATCCATGCCATTACCTCCTATCCCATTTTTTAAAATTTTGTTAGCCAACTTTCTATGAGGAATTTTATAAAAGCCTTCTGAAAATTCAAGTGACTATGTTGATCACCTCCCCTTTTTCAATTATGTTAGTAATGTCCTCAAAAAAATTCCAACAGGTTTGTCAAACATTCAAAAATGTCCAATCAAATCATTATATGACTACTTATCACATCCTAAATAATGTGTTCTGGCAATTTCCCTGCTACTGACGTAAGGCTAACAGATCTGTACTTCCTTATTTTCTCTCTCCCTCTCTTTTTAAATCATAGGGTCTCTACAGTGCAGACAGAGGTCATTTAGTCCATCAAGTTTGGACCAACCCTCTGAAGAGCTTCCCACCCAAACCCATCCTACTCCCGTAACCCTACATTTACCATGGCTAGCCTGTACATCCCTGGATACTACGGAGCAATTTACCATGGCTAATCCACATAACCCACACATCTTTGGAGTGGGAGGATACCAGACACCCGGCAGAAACCCATGCAGACACACGGAGAATGTGCAAATTCCACGCTGACAGTCATCCATTAGAATCATAGAATCCCTACAGTGTGGAAACAGGCCCTCAGCCCAACAAGTCCACACCAACCCTCAGAGCACCCACCCAAACCCATTCCCCTACAACCCACCTAATGTACAAATCCCTGAACACTATGGGTAATTTAGCATGGCCAATCCACCTAACCTGCACATCTTTGGACTGTGGGAGGAAACCGGAGCACCCAGAGGAAACCCGTGCAGACACGGGGAGAATGTGCAAACTCCACACAGACATTTGCCCGAGGATAGAATTGAACCCAGGTCCCTGGCACTGTGAGGCAGCAGTGCTAACCACTGTGCCACCGTGCCATCCAAGGCTGGAATCCAACCCAGGTCCCTGTCCTGTGAGGCAGTAGTGTTAACCGCTGAGCCACCGTGCTGCCCATAAATCGTGAATTTATTTAATTTCTTATATAGGCCTTCCCCCAATGCATCCACTATATCCATATCTACATATCTACTACTTTCAACACTCTGGAATGTACAATGTCATGTCCCAGTGCCATATCAACCTTCAGTCCTTTTAATCTCTTCAACATAACATTCATACTAATTTCCTTCAATTCCTTATTCTCCCTGGTCCCTTGGATCTCCAATTCTGGGAGGTTTCTTGTATCTTCCTCTGAACGTAGACTAAAAGTAATCATTTAACTTCTTTGCCATTTCTCCATACCTATTATGAATTCTCCTATTTCTGCCTATATTGGACTCAGATCTATCTAAGCCAAACATTTTCTTTTTAGGCAATTGTAAAAACTTGTGGGACAGTGAGAGGTTATGTACTTTGGTAGGAAGAATATAGGCGTAGACTATTTTCTAAATGAGGAAAAGCTCCCTAAGTCTGAAACACAAAGAAACTTAGGAGTCTTAGTTCACAATTCTCTTAAGGTTAACATGTAAGTTCAGTTGGCAGTTAGGAAGACAAATGCAATTATAGCATTCATTTCGAGAGGGCTAGATTACAAGAACAGGGATGTATTGCTGAGCCCACCCTGCCCTGTTTCTACCTCACCTCCATCTTCCCACACTTTCCCTATATCCCTTTTTCAACCCAAAAATCTGCGGCCCTCTGTTTTAAAGAACATCTTAAATAAATAGATTTTAGGGCAAAATTCCAGAACTTTGGGCTAGACAACTAAGTTTGTGGAGCAATGGCTATTCTTTAAAGGTGCCTTTTGTAGCCTTGGGACTGAGCTAAAATTGAGGTTACAGTCCAGACGGAGGTCCAGATTTAGAATCATAAAGTCGTATAGTGCAGAAGAAGGCCATTAGACTCATTGAGTCTGGGTTGGCTATTTACAAGAGCTATTTCATGATAACCCAGTCATTTTTCCTTTTTGAATTAATTTTAATTCTAGCCACAGATTTGAAGATGGACAGGAGAGCCATTAAAATTGAGCAGGTTACTTTCCAATCAAAGTAAATTGCTGGAATTTTTTTACTTGATGAAAGTAATACTGTTGATATGGTGTACATGGATTTCCAGAAGGCATTTGATAAGCGCCACATAACAGAGTTGTGTGGAAAGTTATAGATCATGTATTATAAAAGAAATAGTAGTAATGCAGATGGAAAATTGACTGAGTGATAGGACATAGAGAGTAATGTTCAATGGATATTTTTTGGGATAGAAGTAGGTTTGTAGTGGAGATCCCCAGGGGTCAGTATTGGGACCTTTGCTTTCCCTGATATATAAAAAAAATCTGGATCTGTGCATGGGTCAATTTCAAAGTTTGCAGATGACACGAAACTTGGAAGAGTTATAATCTGAGAGAAGGACAATGTGGAACTACAGAAGGACATTGACAAGTTGGTGGAGTGGGCAGATAGGTGTCAGGTGAGGTTCAATAGGTGTACATGTGCATAGACCATTGAAGGTGTCAGGATAATTGGAGAGAGCAGTTATTAAAGCATACAATGTCCTCAGCTTTATTAATAGGGGCATAGAGTACTAGAGTAAGGAGATGATGTTGAACTTCTATATGACACTTAATAGACAAGCTGGAATATTGTGTATAGTTCTGGGTGCCACATTATAGGAAAGATGTGACTGCATTGGAGAGAATGCAGAAGTGATTGACAAGAATGGTTCCAGAAATGAGAAACTTCAGAATAAGGGTTGATTGAAGAAGTTAGTTTTGTTCTCCTTCTGAGAAGAAGGCTGAGAGGAAATTTGATAAAGGTATTCAAAATCATGAGTGGACTGGGTAGAGTGGATCGAGATAAGCTATTCCCAGTGGTAGAAGGAAAAAGAACAAGAGGGCGTGAATTTAAATTGGTGGAAAATAAATGCTAGTCAGTCCAGTGATGCCCATATCCCATGAATAAATAAAGAAAATGTAGTTAGGGTATTGAATTCACTTCCTGGAAATGTGGTGCAGGCAGATTCAGTTGAGGCATTGAGAGGGTATTGGATGATTATTTGGATAGAAATAGTGAGCAGGTGTATGGGGACAAAGCAGGAGATTGACAGTAGGCAATGATGCTTATTTGGCACTCTGGCCAAAATTGCCTCCTTCTGTGCTGTAGCAAATCTGTTTGTTTGGATTCTGTGCATGGTTATCACTGTGTTGACATCACTTGCAGGAATGACTTTTGATTCTGGAAGTCACTGCTGCACACGAATCTCAGATACCAATGCAGAAGAAAAATAATTAGGGGAGCAGTGGTCCTTAACTGCCAAATTTTTGACTCTGCCTCATTTTCTGAGAAAAGCTGATTTTCAATTCATGGAATTCAGAGTTTAGATAAATCCAATTTACTTGGCACCTCAAATGAATTCACTATTCATCTATGTTTAACTCTATTTGCTTTCTTTGCTAGTTTGAAATTGCAGCTGTTGACTCGGACATTCAGAAGGAGTTTGGGCGACAAAGAAACCACTTAGAAAAAAGTATTGCAACATTACAAAAGAAACTGTTGAAGGACACAGAGATTCACCGTGCTGACAATGTCCATATTATGCAGGTAAGAAATTCTGCAATTTGTATTTAGGCACCTTTATTGGATCTTCTATCAATTGTAGCTCAGTGGGTAGCTCTCTCACCTTTAGGTCAAAATGTTCTAGGCTCAATTCCCACTCCAGCGCTTGAGCACATAAATCAAGTTTGACTTTCCAATGCAGTATGAAGGAAGTTCTGCATTGTCTGATGTACCATCTGTCAGAGGAGACTTTAAACTAAATCTTCTTTTGCTTGCCCAGATAGATGTATCAAACTCCGGGTCCAACGTCCAGTACCAGATGAACAAAAGTGATCTCCAATTAAATATGGGGAAGTCTGAGGACAATGTCTTTAGATCTTCTACAAACACTGCTCCCGTGCTAATCTTCTCTGACACATGGTGTTTGTATTCATCTTTGCAATAATCTTTCAGCTTTTACATGTGGTAGGGAAATTATTGGAGAAGATTCTTAGGGACAGGATTTACTTGCATTCGGAGAGGAACTTATTAGGGATAATCAACATGGCTTTGTGCAGGAGAGGTCTTGTCTCACAAATTTGATTGATTTTGTTGAGGGAATGACAAAGATGATTGATGAGGATTAGGCAGTGGAAGTTGTCTACATGGGTGTTACTAAAGCATTTAAGAAGGTCCGTTGTGGTAGGTTGGTCCAGAAGATTAGGTCACATGGGATTCACGGTGAGTTGGTAAATTAAATGTAAAATTGGCTTGGTCATAGAAGACATAGGGTATTTGTGGAGGTGTGTTTCTCTGACTGGAGGTCTGTGACCAGTTACATTCTGCAAGGATCAGTGCTGGGACCTCTGTTTTTTGTAATATACATTAATAATTTGGATGAAAATGTAGCAAGTCTGACATTTTTGGAGAAGAGCTATCCTTTGTCTCCTAACCAATATTTATCCTGCAACATTACAAAAGCAGATTATCTGATCATTATCACATTGCTGTGTGTGGGAGTTTGTTGTTTGAAAGTTAGAGGCTGCATTTCTTACATTTAACCAGTGACTACACTTCACAAGTACTTAATGGACTGTGAAGCCCTTTGAGATGTCAGGTGGCTGTGAAAATTGCTACATAAGTCTACATTTTTCTTTCTAATAAACTATCCCGAGGTGCTTTGTAGGAGAATTACATGATTACATTTAGCTTTATAAGGGGCTATTAGGGCAGAAGAACAAAAGCTTGTGCAGTAGAGTAGGTTTTAACAACACTGAAGAAGAAACAAAAGTTAGAGAAGTAAGAAAGATTTGGGAAGACAATTACAGGAGTTTAGGAACTGGGCAGTAGAAGTCACTACCACCAATGGTGAAACAATTAACATCAATGATTCTTAAGAGGCTTGAATTCGAGGACTGCAGAGATCTCAGAGGATTACAGAAATATAGAAAATTATAGAGATGGGACAGAACTAGGACATGGAAGGATATAAAAACATGGACGAGATTTTAAAATCAAGGCATTACCCATGTAAGTCAACAAGCACAGGGGAAATGAGTGAACAGGGTTTGGTGGGATTTTGCATGGTAGAGTTTTGAGTAACCTTGAATTTACAGTGGGCAGAACATGGGAGACATGCCATGAGTGTGCTTTGGAAGAATCAAGTTTGGAAGCAACAAAGATAAAAGTTTCAGCGGAAAAGCCAATGCAAGGGCAGATATGGGCCATGTTATGGGTCTGGGAATATGAAGACATGGACACAGAACATAAAACAATATAGCACAGGAACAGGCTCTTTGTCTGGGCTGAACACGATGCCATTCTAAACTATTCCCATCTGCTTGCACGTGGTCCATATTCCTCTATTCCCTGTCTGTTCATATGTCTGTCTAAATACCTCTTAAACATTGCTACTATATCTGCTTCTACCATTTCAGGCACCTACCGCCTTCTGTGCAAAAGAACTTAACTCGTACATCTCCTTTAAAACATTCCTGCTCTCACCTTAAATCTATGCCCCTCACCCTATCCATGTCTCATAATTTTATATATTTCTGTCTGGTCACCCTTCAGCCTCCACGGATCTAGTGAAAACAATGCAAGTTTATCTTTATAGCTAATACATTCAGATCCAGGCACATCCTGATAAACATTTTTAGTACCCTGTCCAAAGCCTCCACATCCTACCTATAGTGAAGTTACTGGAACTGCACAGAATACTCCAAATGTGGCCTAACTTAAGTTGCTACATGACTGGTCAACTTTTAGACACAATGCCCAAACTGATGAAGGCAAACATGCTAACCCCACCTTGACCACTTTATCCACTTACATTGCCACTTTCAGGGAGCTATGGACATGCACCCCAAAGTCCCTCTGTATGTCAGTGCTCCATTTACTGTATACTCTCTTTTTGCATTTGACTTTCAAAATTCATTAACTTGCATTTGTCCAAGATTAAACTCTGTCTGCCATTTCTCCACCCAACTTTCCAACTGATCTTTATACTACTATATCCTTTGACCACTTTCCTCGCTATCTGCAATTCCACCAATTTCCGTATCGTCTGTAAACTTACTAATCCAACCTCCTACATTTTCATCCAAATCATTTATATATATTGACATTGTCTTCAGACTTGCCAATATTTAATTGTAGGTCATTTCTGTCCATCTGGTACTGGATGCTGGACAAGGGGTCTGATGATTCATAGAAGGTGGAGGGGATGAGAGATGTGCTAGTGAAGTAAAACTGAATATTTTAGCATACTTGTGGAAAGTGAGGTTTTGTTTTTGGATGATATTACTGCATTGCAACATGTATATGAGAAATAGATCACTTGGAGATTACTAGGAGTAACAGTGCAGGACAGTGAAGAGAAGCTCTGATGGCTATGATTAGATTGTAAGAGTGGAACCACATGAGAGCAATCCCAGCCAACAGGATGCTAGTGGAGTGTCAATGAATAAGGCTGGTATGATCAGCTGTTTTAAAAGGCTGCAGACACATTCAGAAGGATGATTTGTGCAGATAGTTTGCCTTTGTGACAATCAAGCAGGATGTAGTTTTTGTATTTGATAAAAGCCATCTCAATATTGTGGCAGAATTAATGACAACATATTCAAGGACTTTAGAGAGGAATGTGAAGTTGAAGATGGGATGGTGGTTTGCAAGAATGGAGTGTGAGTGTATTTTTAAGAAGAGGTAGTGCGTGCAGATTTAAAGGAGAAACAGACAGAACCTAATGAGAGAGAGTCATTAACTATAACAGCAATCATGGAAAGTAGGAAGGGAAGTAGCATAGTCAGTAGTGTATTGGAAATAAGGTCGTGAGAGTAGAGGGTGGTTCTTATGGACAGGTTGAGCATGGAGAGAGCATGAATTTCTCCTACCTTCCTTCATTTCTAGAGAAATGTACAGGGCTAAGCAGTGTGGAGCTTTCAAGGAGGTTTGGAGCTCAGGGAAATGGCAGAGACAGCGGATCAGATAGTCTCAATCTAAGTGACAAAGAAACCCATAAACTCTTTCCACTTCCTATTGGAGGAGAGTTTGGAGACACGGTGATGAGAAATAGTTTCAGAAGATGGCATGCAGTAACAGAAGTATAATTCTAGAACAGTAGGCAGTTTGCACAGGTGAATGCAGGATGTATTAGTGCATTGTGTGGATCAGGTAGAACTGGCAGTGAGCAGAAGGTAAAAGATTAAGAAGTTGGGAATGAGAGAGTGCAGTTGGGAATGAGAGAGTGCAGTAGTAGGAAAATTGGAGGAGAAGATTTTTTAATCAGCAGCAGATATAGAGGTGGTATGGTTTGGAGAATGGAAGCAGGGTGCGGGTGATGAGTGATACGTAAAACTAATCAAGAAAAGCCTTTTCTGTGATTGATGCTATAGAAATAGCAAAGCTATGTGAGATGGCAAGGTCAAGGGAGGGGTCATGAATATGGGCTGAGAAGTTTACATGAAAAGAGGGATTAAGGTATGGAAAGATAGTGAACTCAGAAGAGTGAAAATGATGAATTAAAATGAGGGATAACATCATCTAGGACAAGAAGTGACTTGGTGCAGATGTTGGGGGAACAAAAGAGTGAAAATAGTTTGTTGGGAAACTGGCATGGTAATGGGACAGGACTTTAATGAAAGGTGAAAGGAATGGAATCAGCGAAATGCTACATGCATCAGATTATTGCATTGATGTGGAAAGAAATGACTATTATTTGTACGTTGCAATCATAATTTAAGCATGGGCCAAATCCATTTCATCTGTAGCTTTTGTCAGTTTGAATTCATTCAAAGACCTTAATGTTCAGCATAGCTGCAGCTTTGCATTTTCAGCAGGAGGTAAAATCAAATTTGCCCTCTTCTTAACTTTTCCATGGAAAAGTCATTATATTGATGTACCCATTAGGCAATCCAGGATGATATTCTCTAAAACTGCATCAACAATCCTAGATCTAACCATTAATCCATACACGAATTTCAAGCTCTGATAAGTGGATGCATCTGTTTGAATTATTTTTCCTCTCTTGAATTGAATTGAGTTGGATTAGTTTCATTGTCACATGTACTCAAATGAGTACAATGAAAAGTTTACAGTCACCGCATTACAGTGCTATCTTAGGTACAAAAGTACTTTGGTGTAGATACTTAATACCAAATTCCTAGGAAATAAAAAAAGAAAAGTAAAGAAATAAATAGTCCAGCATTATAGGTCATAGGAATAAATTAGAAAAATAAAGAAGTAAAAAGTTCAGAGTATCAGTCTTTCTTACCCTGTTCATGCTGGCACCTAACCATAAGGGAGATCTTTACTGCCTTGCAGCTGCCCGTGCTGTACCCACCAATGTATAAATCATCGCAACTTAGTCGCCATCTCTTCACCACTGGGCCTGCTTCGCTGATGCTGCTGAACCCACACTCGCCCTACAACCAATTGTCACTGGCTCCACTGCCTGGCCACGCTGCCGCTGGGCCACAAATCCTGTTTCGGCTGCAGATGTCACGTTGTCAATGCTGCCATCTTGAAGAATCCGCTGCTGCCACCCCTGATCGCTGGAGGATCTTTGCTGCCGCTGCCACCGGCCCCCAATGCCGGGAGACTGACCTCGCTGCTGCTGCCACAGGCCCTGAATGGTGGGAGAATGCACTCATCTACCGCTGGCCTCCTATCACCAGGAGAAGTCACGTCCGCCACTCCAATACGGCTGCAGTGCCAGTGCTGCCAACCAACCTGCCACAGAACAGAAGAAGACCAAAAGGAAAGGAAAATATAGCAAAAGTGAAACAAAGAATTAAAGCAGATGAGAGCAGATGGGCCCCGGGCAAGTGCCCACACGCAGCCCTATTATTCCGTTGCCGCCTTGCACCAGAAATGATTGGTGATTAGCCATTAATAATTACACAGAGCAATACAGAAGAAAATGTGATAGAATTATATAGCTTATCTGATTTACTATCTATTTAAATTGATGATTGAAAAATTGAGTGTGTTTCATTGTATGCTTATTATCCACCCCAAGCAGTTTTGCTGTTTGCACTCTGCCCAGAATATTATTTACACTCAAACATAAGAAAATCTGCCAGTTATGCTGGCCGTATTCCGGTTACAAGTTGCTCTGTACAGGCAGTGAAGTGAAATAATTTAGATGTGCACTTTTGAGACTGAGACGTCTTCAGTATTGTATGTAAATCAGACAATCAGTGGGCAGTAGAACTTGGGGGAGGCATTGTAGGAACATGATCTATTTTGATTTCAGGTCCTTAATGTAACATGATCAGCAGGTTGTCACTGTAAACATGTGACCCTGTAATTTGTTGATTAGGACATTGGGAACTGGGGAAGGTGGTTGAATGTGACTGGCCTGTAGCAACACATTATGAAGGAGGGGTAGGTGGGGGACAGAAAGAATGTGAATCGTCAGCAGCAGAAAAATGATCAGGGCTGTGGATAGAATTTTGTACAGCATGTTATGCAATCACAAATATATTAACTGTTACTCTACAGTTCAAGCTCATAAACTACTGCCTTAAAAATGCCCTGAAAACATCCAATCCACTGACAACATCTGTCTTATCAAACTGTTATCCGACATCCAATTCCTGTAGAGCAACAGTATTTTGTTGTTAAATGTTGGAAAGACTGAAATATCAGCTTCGACAAACTCCCCGTTTTGGACCAGATCTGCAGCAACGCCTCAGTCTCAGGCAGTGCTTGCAACCTCAGCAATTTATGTCACCGAAGCTCACCTTCTGACCTTATAGATATTTTCTAACCAACCTGTTCAGAGATGTTATTACACATTCTGTCTCTGTAATATCACCCATTCTGCTTTGTTCTAACTGCTGCTGAAACTGTTTCCAACTATAGACTTAATTAGTCACATTGTCCATTATCCATCTTCCGTAAAATTCAGCTCAGGTTAAAAAAAAAGAGATGTTGACAGGAGGGCCTGAAGGTTTACTATAATTATCAGTTTATTTTGATATAAACCATAATTTGTTGAAAAGGTGAAAAGTCATTATAAATGATGTGGGTATTTATTATTGTTGTATATCGTCAATATTGCCTCTAATAAGTTGACCAGAAAGAAGGAATGATTGGTAACTTTCCTTTCTCAGGAAAATGTAGCTCTTATCAAGGAGATTAATGACCTGCGGCATGAGCTGAAGGTTGCTCGAATAAAGGTGCATGATCTGGAAGTAGCTCTTGGAACTCTTAAGAAGAATAAGAAACCATGTGCTGTTGATTTTAAAGGTAAAATATTTTAATCACTCTTGTAATTCAGGGAGAATCAGAAAAAAAGGAAATTTAGAATATGCAGTTTATTCCATATTTAAAGTCTCTGTGAACCAATCTTGTGATCTTTACTGAATTAGAAACATATCTACCAATATTCAGATCAATCTTCATTTGACAGCATTGGTTTAGAATAAAAAATGTTACTTCAAAATCAAACACATTGAACCTTACTAAAAGATTTGGAGTAGTCTTTTCTGGTCCTGGAACTGTTGAATATCCTTGGCAAGGCCAATATAGAAGAGTTAGGTAGAGAGGAATTCACATCAATAAAAGACATCAAAACAACTCCCTCCCTATTAATGAAAATGAGCAGAAAATTGGATAGGCTCTGTCATGAGCTTTGGCTTTTCTGTGACCGGTTTTTCCTGACTAGAAAACTCTACCCCTTTTTTGTGAATTTGTTTTTCCTCAGTTGTTTAAAATGTTGGAGTTAAATTTCCATGGGAATTCCACTGATAGAATTACTAACTATTATACCAGTAGAATTCTAAGACTTAAACTGTGCCATTTTTCAAAGTTTTCCATTCCATCTCACCAAAGTTTCAGCAGACTATTGGAAGAAGCCTGTGGAAATTCCCTTCTATGACAGCCTACAAAGACTGGCACCATGCTATTACTAACATGTACTAGCCTTTCTTTTAAAAGAGATGAAATGTACAGAACTTTAACTTGCAAGGGAAGGTGAATATTCTATTTCTGAAAGTCTGTTGTTAAAGGATAAAATTAGATCTAATCTCTGCACACTTTTTGCATTTTTTTGGGGTCTCATGACAAACACATACCTCCTAACGCAACACTCACAGTTTTTGTCCGTGGCTATTTATAAGCTCTAAAGTGATGCCCAATTAATACCTACCACCTGCATATAATTTAATGCAATTGATAGATAGCTGGCAGTGGACAGAACTACAGACATAGGATTAGAATTAAGTGCCCAAAAAGTGCATTCAGGTCAGGGACCCGTCATCGTGTCAACCACTTTTGGGTTTGTCCTGGATGGGTTTGGAAGTCAATGGGCAAACCCTGTACAACTGTCAGGGAAGTAACTGAAATTTTCAGGTAGGTTATGAACTCTTGTTTCACCTTGCACTTTAACATTAACAAGTCAGCATATAAGTTCCCCAAGATCTCTACATTTCACCAGCCGCATGAGGTGAGAGCACATCAAGTAGGCTAAATTAATGGAAATGTTATACCAGGAGCACTTTAAAGACTAAAATTATTGACTTTGTAGACAGCCACAGTGAAATGTGTCTGTTTTTAGGATTACTTCTGACAGGTTGAATTAAGAGATTAGGTGTCAAATTCAACCTTTAGGAGTTACTTTGAAATGCCTCAAAGTATAGTCGCCCCTTCATCTCTAATTCCTTGCTGTCAACCTTCAATGCAGCATGGGAGCAGTTTATACAGCAGTTGGCTGGATCTCTATTAAAGAACAAGAGGACCACCACCAGCAACAGCACCAGAAACAGCAGGGCCAACAGCAGCACTAATTTGCCTCATCCTGAGCCACTGCTGTTCCATGGCGCAGGTGGTGTAGACCCTGATATCCAGCGCAAGGAAATAAAACCACCAACATGGATTATACAGGAGAAGGATCAGCTTGCTCAATATGTTGCAAGCATCAGTGCTTCAGGAGGTGTAGGTTTTCATAATAGGTTGTTGCTGGCATCTGCCATTCCTGGAACAAGGTTTCTTTCATTGTAGTTTTCATGTTTCCATTACTGAAAGGCCACTGTTCCCTGCAGAAATCTGGGACTTGGCACCTGAAAATATAACTCCCTCTCACCTTTCCTACCCTCTTGAGGTCCTAGATCCTCTTGGTGCACAGTTCTCGTGGTGACGGGATCAAATTCCTGCTGCTGACCTTTTTGATCCCTTGCTCGATTTAAGTGGCTGGCCACTTCCATCGTCGAGAATTATAACCTTGCTGAAGTCCCTCTCATTCTGCAGTAAACCCTCCAAGCAAGGGCGAGAGACCAAGGAAGTAAGCTTTCCAGATTTCCTCGCCATTCCAGTTGCAGCCTCATCTACCACCTATCTGCCTGCTCCACTGGCTTGTATGTCATTCTGGGTTCCACACTGTCCTCCTCACAGTTACAATTCTTCTAAGGTTTATGTCATCTGCAATTTTTGAAATTGGCCCCTGCACATCATTAATATATATCAGGAAAATCAGGGTCCCAATACTGACCTCTGTGGAACTAAATTACAAATCTTTTTCTAGCCTGAAAAACATTCATTACTGTCTGTTTCCGATCATTCAGCCAATTTTGTATCCATGTTGCTACTTACCCTTTTATTCCATGACCTACAGTTTCCCTCACAAGTCTGTTGTGTGGCATAATATCAAATACCAAATTTTCAGGTCATCCACAAGCATCTTGACCATATCTACTACATTTAAGTCTAAACCGTAGATAGCAAGGGCTCCAGCAATAAGATCTTGAGACTCCAGTGGCAAAAGTCTTCCACACACATATATATCCCTCTATCATCACCCTCTGTTTCCTGCCTCAGTCAATTTTGGATCCAACATGCCATTTTTCCTTGAATTTCCTTGGATGTTACTTTCTTGACCAGTCTGACATGTGGAACCTTATCGAATGCCTTGCTATAGTCCATATAGGCCACATCAAATACATCACCCTCATCGAGACTCCTTGTTACCTCCTCAAAAAAATTGATAAAATTTGCAAATCCAAACTTCCCTTAACTTGACTATTCCAGATTAATCCACGTCTCTCTAAATACAGATATATTCTGTCCCTCTGAATTCTTTCTAATAACTTCCCTACCACCTGATGTAAGACCATCAGGCCTATAATTTCCTAGTTTCTTCATTCCCTCTCTTTCAATAATGGGACAATGTTAGCAGTCCTCCAGTCCTCTGTCCAGACAGGATTTGAAAATTAGTGCTCCTGATATCTCCTCCTTTGTCTCCATCATTTGTTCAGTGAGTTGAGGGCCTGTCAGTTTATCCACTTTTAAAGCTGCAAAATCCGTGAGTCCTTCCTGTATCTGTATGTTAATTTCTTCTGTTATTTCACAATTATCCACTCTCATGTCTACACCTGTCTTCCATTGTGTAAACCAGTGCAAAGTATTCATTGAAGTCTGTGCCCACATCTTCTGGGTCCACAAACACAATACCTCTATGGTGCCAACGGGCCTACTGTTTCCATAGTTATTCTCTTGCTCTTAATTTTTTTTAAAAAACAGTTTAGATTTTCTTTATTTTACGTGAAATGCTTTCTAATGCACTCTCTTGCTTTCCTAGTTTCCTTTTGAGATCCCCCTGCAATTGTTGTACCACTCTAGGTCATGTTGAGCCCTCAGTATCTGCCATAAGCTTCTCTTTTACTCCTAATCCTAATGTCTATGTCTCAAGGCTGCTGTGTAACCATCATTATGGCTATGTTTTATAAAATTAATTAGTTGTTGCAAAGTGCTTCCGTACATCCTGAAGTTGTGCTATATTACTGCAAACATTTTGCCTCTTTCACTCACCTCAGTTCAAGGGGAAAATACACATATTTGTTTCCCTGTAATTGGAGGAACAGTTCAGTAACTGCATATTGAATTAAGGAACAAATGTATTAGTTTTGTTTTCTCTCCCCAGATAATTGCTCACGGAATGCAGTCACACGTCTTAATTTTGATCATGAGTCGGAACGGATCATTGAACTTCAGCGACTGGAAATTAAACAACTTCAGGAACAAAATCAACCAAAGGAGGATGTCCAGCACCAATCTAGTGGAATATTACCTGCAATTACTATTTAATTAACATTTCAAATATGTGAGAAATCTGTGCGGCGGCATGTACATCTTTCCTTGTATGCACACAATGAACTATCAACACATTTTTTGATGAACTATGCTCCATATTAATTTAGTTTATTCTGTCCTTTCAAAAGCTGCTTGTCTACTGAATAATCCCATCTGTTTCCAAACAATGAAGTCACCAATATTTAAAGGGTATATTATTAAACTTTTACAATATCTGTGTTCCATTAAGAAAAAAAAATTCCCAATTAATAGAATAGTTCACTTACTGTATTTGTTCAAATTAGATTCTTCATTTCAGCAAATTAAATCAGTCATATTAAACTAATTGGACCTGTGTTCAGAGACTTTTATCATTTTTTATTAAAAGGTGGAGAAGTCTGATTATGCTACATACATCTGAAATTGAAGAATGCGCAACACAGCAAAGAAATGTGAAAGTTTGTATCAATATTTAACAACAAATTAACTGCAACTGGAAGTTGCATGTATTGTTCGTTCTCGTGTTAATGTCTGTACCTGCTCAGCAGTTCCCTCTGGTGGAATCTGTATACTTTCAATTTTGGTCTGTAGCTTATTTTGTGTGGTAACGTTGTGAGCTGGGTTTTCAGCACAATGTGGGAAACAGTAGAGAAGTCTGTTTCTGTGTCAGCAACCTGTCTCCAGTGGTAAATGAATAAAAATTTATTCCTTGTGTGAGTTGAGCCCTTAATTGAAATGTAAATGCCTTTTGTGCCAAATGGAGATGAGTCAGATGAAGAGGGAACTCATTCAGATGCCTGCGGAAGACTGAGGCGGCTTGTTATCCTGACAAAGGGAGTTTGTGCCAAAATCTTTCACTGCACCACAGCAAAGTGAGCTGTCACTGGGGAGCCAGAGGTCTGGCACCCACATGGTGCTGGGGAGGCAATGGCCTAGTGGTGTTATCACTGGACTGTTAATCCAGAGACTCAGGTAGTGGTCTGAGGACCCGGGTTTGAGTCCTGTCATGGTAAATAGTGGAATTTGAATTCAATTTAAAAAAAACTGGAATTAAGAGTCTAAAATTGTTGATTTCTGAAAAAAACCCCATCTGGTTCACCAATACCCTTAAGGGAAGGAAACTGCCACGCTTACCTGGTCTGGCCTATACGTGACTCCAAACCACAGCAATGTGGTTGACACTTAACTGCCCTTTGGGCAATTAGGAATGGACAAGGAATGCCAGCCTAGCCAGCGTCACTTTCATCTTCTAAATGAATAAAAAACACAGGGAAGGAAGTCTTCCCAGAGGCTGGCAGGAGGTGACCATACAGCAGCATCTCTGTCCGTCATTATCTTCGTCTCCCTCCAAATCCTCCTCCGCCCCTTACCTCCTGTACCTGTTCTCCCTACTCAGCAACACCCCTCCCCACACCCACCCTCGTCTCCCATTGCACTTTCTCATCAGGGTCTTACTATCCTCAAAGTTTATACTTCGTGGAGGGCTATGTTATGGAGAGTGTAGCAGACCGCCAGAATAATTTGAGGTCCTTGAAGAAAGCTATCATAGTGCCCTCCCAATGCCACCCCCTCCCCAATGCACCAGGCATTGTATCCAGTGTCTCTGAACCAATGGTGCCCCATCACAGTTGGGAATTTGATGTAACAAAAACAGAAATTGCTGGAAAAGCTCAGCAATTCTGGCAGTATCAGTAAAGAGAAATCAGTATTAATGTTTTGGGTCCGGTGACCCTTCCTCAGAACTGGACCTGAAACATTGACACTGATTTTACAGATGCTGCCAGACCTGCTGAGCTTTTCCAGCAATTTGTGTTTTTGTTTCTGATTTATAGTATCTGCAGTTCTTTCAGTTCTTATTGGGAATCTGGCAGGTTGTCCAGCCTCAGTGAAGAGAACTTCTGATCTCTGGGCAATGCACGAATATGCAGCTACCTATGCAATGTGATGGAGGGCATAGATGTTTGTGACCTTCTGCCCAGATAACCACAGTCACCGATTCTGTCATCTACAGGTCTGTTTGCCTTTTCCCATTGATCCTGTACTTCCAGTAGTTTCTCCTTCATGACCCTCATTCCTCTCTTCTGGTTTCCTGATGCCCAGAGCTTTGCTTTTCTTGTGCAGGCTGCTTCACCCCGTCTCCAAGTGCCTTGATTTCTGAAGGTGCAGCCCCCAATTTCCAGCTGCACCCTTTTTGGTCTCACACCTTGCGCCGCTGCCCATGTGGTGACAGGAGAGTTATGACCCCTGAATTAGTAAAGCTCTCAATGCTGGCATTTCCTCTGACCTGTTTGGGCTACTGCAACTTAAACTTCTATGAGGTAACCTATGAAAAACTTGAACACTTCATTTTTTAAACTTTTCTGGCCTCTGTGATTCATCCCTGAAATGATCCTCACCTACCTTCAGCTGGATGCAGGAAAATCCTGCAGATGGGTTTTTATCAAACCTTGATCAATATTTAATTATTCCACTTGGGAGTGAATGCAAGTTCACAAGTCCAACAGCCCACCAAGCCACTCCCACAAAAAAATCGTTAGCACCAGAAATGGAGGCTGGATGATCTGGATATGTGAGTCACTGCTGATTATCATAATGTGGTTCTGTCAGAGCTTGCTTTGAATAAATAGGCTGCCATTTTTGCCGGATTACAACATTCAGTGCTTTGGGAGGTCTTTCTGTTTATCTACACAATGTCAGGATCATGGAAGCTTTGCAGTATCACCTGGGGTAATTTAATTGTGGACCCTTGCCCCTAGTTCCTGATGGACGGATAGAGTTAAAATTCTCTCATTGCTAGATGTCCTGTACCTTTACCAAGTGACTTTTGTTAATGTGTGAGCTTCAATGGGGAACAGGTTTATCACTGTGGCAACGTCACAACTCTGTTCAATCCTGCCCAGCCAAAGTTCACACAAAGGCACTTTCAGTAGTAATCATTTTATCGCAACATGAATCTCCCTAGTCCACAAACATAGTGGTTCAACTTTGTTCTTAACTGTGATAGGCTAACTAGGATCAAACTAGGATCAAAACTGAGAACACCGAAATAACTGCAGATGCTGTAAATCAGAAACAGAAACAGAAATTGCTGGAAAAGCTCAGCAGGGTGGCAGTATCTATGGAGAGAAATCAGAGTTAACGTTTTGGGTTGAGTGACCCTTCCTCAGAACTCAAAACTGAGATCTTCCTGGTCCGTAGGACTGAGAGGCAGGACTCATTATCTATTGTAATAGAATTCTGTGTGTTTTGTTGATATAGGTTACCAGTAACCTTTCCTCTCATTTCAATACCTGAGAAACTTGGCCGCACAAGTAGATAGAGTGGTAAAGAAGGTGTATGGCATGTTTGCCGTGATTGGTGAGGGAATTGAGTATAAGAGTCAGAATGTCATGTTGCAGTTCTGATCGCCACATTACAGGAAGGACGTGGAGGCTTTGGAGAGGGTGCAGAAGAAGTTTACCAGGACGCTGCCTGGATTAGAGGGTATGAGCTATAAGGAGAAGCTAGAAAAATTTGGGTTGTTTTCTCTGGAGTGGCAGAGGCTATGGGGAGACTTGATAAAAGTCTGAAAAATTATGAGATGCATAGATAGGGTTGATGGTCAGAATTTTTTTTCCTCCAGAATTGAAATGTCTAATACTAGGGGGCATGAATTTACGGTGAGGGGGAAAGTTCAAAGGAGATGTGAGGGGCAAGTTTTTTTACACAGAGAGTAGGGGGGAGTCTGGAATGCACTGCCAGGAATGGTGTTGGAGACATATATGATAGGGATGTTTAAGGGATTTTTTGATAAGTATGTGAATATGCAAGGAATGGAGGGATATGGACCAAGGGCAGGCAGAAGGGATTAGTTTAATTTGGTGTAATGTTCAGCACAATATCGTGCGCTGAAGGGCCCATTCCTGTGCTATACAGTTCTATGTTCTAAATACTGGGGGTATTCATTTGAATGTGCATATTTCATTTGATCTTTACCAATGGATTTTACTGTCTTTAAGCAGTGATAAATCAGCTACCTAAATGCAGTGATAATTTGAATCAATCTGCAATCTACATAAAAGACTACAAGGCAAGCAATGGAAATGGAAATGCAGCAAATAAAATCCAGCCCTATTATAATCTGAATATCAAAGTATACATCTGAAATGAGATTCAGATCAGCTGTGCAAGTAGCCCTTCCCTTTTAAATACCTATGTGGACAAACCCATAAGCCTACATGAGAACAGTAGTAGGTGGAGTCAAAAATATGATTGCAAGAGATGTACCAGAACTGAAAGCCTGGAACAAAGAGACTAAAGGTGCACTGGAAAAATCCCAAATCAGAGGCTGAGAATCAAGATCCTATTCATCTCGGTGCTGAGATTGAGATTCAAGTAACTCCTGCTTGAATAAATTTGAGCCACTTGAGTAAGTACTTGAAGTAATTGAGAGAATTCACCTGCATAGGAGCAGGAAATGAAAACTTCACTTTCCGAGGCTGGAACAGATGATCTAAAGAGAAATGAGACTCGTTGCTGATAAGACTGTAACAGAGTGATTTAAATGAGAAATAGAAAGTTTGAAGATTTTGCATTTCATATTAATTCCAGTGGAAAAGGTCACCAGCATTTAGAACACATGAATTAAACTCTGCACAAGAAAAAATCTCTCTCCTGTTAAACGGGTTATACCTGTTGGAAATGAAACTGAGCTGGAGAGCTGCAACTCTTTTCTACAGTATATGTCTACATAACAGGTAACTGGAAATGCAGCTAAAGAAATCCAAAATTACAGGAAAACCTCAAGGAATGAGTAAGTAATTTAATATTGTGTGAATTAGAGATATGTAATCCCTGAGGGAACAGCCACTGCTGCAAGTCAAAACACAGTGGAATCCCACATCTCCCGCAACTCATTCCTCACACCCCGTCCACGCAATAAGAACCAAAAAAGAATCCCCCTCGTCCTCACGTACCACCCCACCAAACTCTGGATCCAACGCATCATCCTCCAACACTTCCGTCATCTGCAATCCGACCCCACCACCAAAGACATCTTTCCCTCCCCACCCTTATCAGCTTTCCGGAGGGACCACTCTCTCCGTGACTCCCTTGTCCGCTCCACAATCCCCTCCAGCTCCACCACACCCGGCACTTTTCCCTGCAACCGCAGGAAGTGCTACACCTGCCCCCATACCTCCTCCCTCACCGCCATCCCAGGCCCCAAGAAGACTTTCCACATCAAGCAGATGTTCACCTGCACATCTGCCAATGTGGTATACTGCATCCGCTGTACCCGGTGTGGCTTCCTCTACATCAGGGAAACCAAGCGGAGGCTCGGGGACCGCTTTGCAGAACACCTACGCTCGGTTCGCAATAAACAACTGCACCTCCCAGTCGCAAACCATTTCAACTTCCCCTCCCATTCCTCAGACGACATGTCCATCCTGGGCCTCCTGCAGTGCCACAACGATGCCACCCGAAGGTTGCAGGAACAGCAACTCATATTCCGCTTGGGAACCCTGCAGCCCAATGGCATCAATGTGGATTTCACAAGCTTCAAACTCTCCCCTCCCCCTACCGCATCCCAAAACCAGTCCAGCTCGTCCCTGGCTCCCTAATCTGTTCTTCCTCCCACCTATCCCCTCCTCCCACCTCAAGCCGCACCTCCATCTCCTACCGACTAACCTCATCCCGCCCCCTTGACCTGTCCGTCCTCTTTGGACTGACCTATCCCC